GTTTGTGTTTGTACCAGTTTGTACTGTTCACATTTCACAGTGGTTCGCTTGATAGAAGCAGATAGAAATCTATAAAAAATAGTTTGTTGTTTCTAATTAATTTATGGACATAATAAAACAGAGAATGCATCAGTATTTGTTACCAGATGTGAAAGTAATATTGGAGCTTTTCGAACAAGTAACAATCTCAGAATTTTAATTGAATGTATCTATTTATGTTTAAATGCATCTATAGAAACAGTAAAGTTCTAAAGATTTTAGTACATAAACTATACTAAATTTAAATGTGACAAGACACGAAAAGGTATTTAGTATGAATTTTCTAACAAGAAGGATCTGTATTTTATTGAATAAAGTTGGGATAGCTAAGGAATCAAAGGTTGTGCAACTTGCATTTGTTAATTATTTTCATAATAATCAACAAGTTTTGTACAATACATCCAAAGGCAATAATCAAGTTATAGTTTATCCTTTTCATGTAGCAGATAGAAAGGAGAAAGAAACATATTTGGATATCATACGTTTATATGTAAAGAATAATAATATGAGAAGAGGACAAGCAGAATTCATTTTACATGCTATGAAATACATGGATGAATTTGGTGTAAACAAAGATTTGGATACTTATAAAGCATTGTTGGATGTATTTCCTAAAGGAGATTATATACCACGGAATATGTACCAAAATATGTTGTACCATTATCCAAAGCAACAAGATACTGCTCTTCAATTGTTAAGTAAAATGGAATCAAATCGTGTGATACCTGATTATGAAATGCAAGAAATGATCCTAAATATATTTGGTGAAAAATCTCAACCTGCAAGAAAATTTTGGCGCATAATGTACTGGATGCCAAAGTTCTGTAGACTGAATCCTTGGCCAGTTCCAGAGCCTGCACCAAGGGAACCTAAGGAGCTTGCTTATTATGGGATAAAAAAATTATGCAGTATAGATGTGCAAGCTAAAATTACTGAATATAAAACAAAAGATGTACCAGATGCTATGCAGGAATTACTTGCTGTGCAATCCACTGATAAATCTTTATTTATTGAAGGGCCTTTTATGGTTTGGGTCGCTGATAGTTGTCTAGACTACTTTGTATTAAAGGGAGAACCAATTAAAAGAGAAGTTATTTGTGAAAGCTGGGATGGTAAGACTGCATAAAAGCAATTTAAAGTATTTTATATACTCGGCTATTATAAAAATGTTTTGCTGTTTTATTTTTAGATGTTTCTGATTTAAAAATTCCTTTTTGGGAGCAGCTAAACAACAAAATACCTGTTACTATTCATGAACAAGATGATGGTGTGTATTATGCAATATGTTTCACTGGCACATCCTCTAAAGATTCTTTGCTATCCTGGATAAGGTGTCTACAAAAAACAAATCCTGCTCTAAACGACATACCAATAGTTTTCAAAATAAGATCAGCTGTAGAAATACCATTGTATATAGAAAAAGATACAGGGTCTAATGATTCAATGGATAATCAGGATACAAAAATGTTGAAAGATAAAAAGTAGTTGAAATGAGTAAATCATTTAAATTGTGTAAATAAAGTTGTTTTTGTAATGATTGTTCTAAATTATTTTATTCATTTGCGTATATCAAGTTTTAGTACCGTGCACGAAATATCATTTTTTAAATACATTTTTTAAAAAGTGTATTAATATCTTAACCATATTACAATCAACACCTTTATTGATTGTAAATATTTTATGCATATATGCAAGTACATCAATATACGCGAAAGGAACTCCTTTATTTCTTTTGCATATACATAATTCAGTGTACCCATATTTATACATGAGTGCCTCCTTGAAAATAAACTCATTTAACTTTTAGACTCGTGTATGCATAACCACATGGGCTCTGCCAGAAACCAATTGACCGTTGAACAGTAAAAACGTTTTTCACAAGTGAGAGGTTCGAAAATAATAAGAAATCAAAATGTTGGTAAATAAGTTCGTCAAAATAACCACGAATACTCAATACTTTATGAACTCGAAGTGTAAGTATTTTATTAAATTGATTGGGATTTCTAAGAGCTCTTAATTAAAAATTTTTAAATACTAAACAACTTCCGGGAATATAACCGCGCGCACCATTATATTTTCAAATACTGAATAGATAAATACTTTCCGTGAAATTCAAACTTTAATTTGTAAACTGTCAAATTTTTATAGTTTCCTTCCGAAAGATAGTAAAATATAGATTACTTTGTTAGGCTTTACCCATCAATCAAGATCTCCTACGATTAATACGCCATTTTTTCCGGAAATGCCTGACTGTAAGCACATACCTTCTACTTACACGGTAAGATAATTTATTCGGCAAAAAATTTGGTTTAATTTTTAAATTAAATAAATTTGCTGTAATTTAGGGCCCAAATTATGAAGACATAAAAACAGCACATGAAACGTTTGTCTCTCCTTCTTTAAAGCCATTTTACAAAGAACCTTTAATTATACACGAAGGTAAAAGACAATGGTTGTGGGATCATCGTGGGAAACGTTATTTGGATATGTTTGGAGGTGTTGCTACGATATCCGTTGGACATTCGCATCCGTAAATACATAAAGGAGAATCTTTATAAAAGACTTTGAAAAGAGAAAAATTCCCCATAAGTAACACATATGATAAGAAATTTTATTTTCAATAAATTAGATACTAAAATGAAGGTTTTCTTATGTTCATTATCTAGGAGAATAGTCGCTGCTATAATCGAGCAAACATCAAAGTTAAATCATGTGTCCTCTGTATATATGCAGCCCCGTTTATATGAATATGTGTGCGGTTCAGAGGCAAATGAATTAGCGTTCTTGATGGCTAGACTTCACACACGTAATCATAACATCATTTCATTAAGAAATGGTTACCATGGAGCTACTTATGGGACTTCAGCTTCTACTGCAATAAGTACCTGGAAGTACCCATTTATTGTACAACCGCCTGGATACTTACACGTAAGCGCCACATTTATATATTTGAATTTATAACGAAATAAAAAATCAAACGTTTTTGAATAAGATCTTTGTTTTCAGGCGGTATATCCAGACGTTTACAGAGCTCAGTGGGGTGGTTCGAAGTGCAGGGATTCCCCAATTCAAACAAACAGATATTGTGACTGCAACCAAGAACAATGTATAGCATCAGAAAAGTACTTCTGTGACTTCGAAGAAATATTTCGTTTCAGTTCGCCCTACACAGAGGGTGTAGCAGCATTCATAGCCGAGAGTATTCAGGTATCCTAACAGTCTGGAAAAACATTTATATAATAGCAAGCACCATTTTAGGCATTCCTAAACCATATATAGGACTAAAACTGGGTGGCTAAACAATATGATTTTTGTAATTTTAATAATTAACTGAGAGACGCCTACAATGTTGCTCTATATACTGGATGGAAAATTTTATTAAACAATTTTTTCTTCGAATAATCATATATACTACTTAATCGTTAGGGAATTGGAGGAACAGTACAATACCCTAAATATTTTCTCAAGAGGGTATACGAATATGTACATAAAAAAGGGGGTCTTTGCATAGCAGATGAAGTTCAGACCGGATTTAGTAGAACTGGCGAACACTTCTGGGGTTTCGAGAGCCATGGCGTGGTACCTGACATAGTGACATTGGCGAAAGGTATAGGGAATGGATTTCCCCTTGGCGCAGTAGTCACTAGCACTGAGATTGCCAACAATCTAAACACTGCACTGCATTTCAATACTTTCGGGGGCAATCCCCTTGCCTGTGCTGTAGGAATCACGGTTCTCGAAGCAAGTATATTTGCAATTTTTTAATATTCAAAATTTTCGTTTGAAATGCAACATCGCATTAAATTAATTTTAGATTATTGAAGAAGAGGAACTCCAAAAGAACGCACAGACAGTTGGTACACATTTGATCAATCTTCTAAACACTCTGTTGTCAGAATTCCCTAACACTGTTGGCGATGTTAGGGGAAAAGGTTTGATGATTGGCATCGAGTTAATATCAAATCCGGAAACAAAACAACCGTTAGAAACTGAACGCATGCTCGAAATTTTTGAAGACGTCAAAGATATGGGCGTCCTTCTTGGCAAGGGAGGGTTATATGCAAATGTAAGTTAATCAATAATTAAATATTTATAGCATTTAAATATATGAATATTTATAATAATTCACACACGCAGATACTAAGAATAAAACCGCCTTTATGTGTAACAAAAGAGGATGCAGACTTTACTTTTGAAGTAATTAAAAAGGCACTAAAGAAACATCAAGAGAAGAATTCTAAAGTTTGAGCACAATTAAATAGGTATACGAATACAATTTCTTTTATTTGGTACAATCATTTACGACTTACATTATTTATATTACAATTTGTACAACATAGTTTTTTTTTATTTTTATCCACCTAAGTCAGCATGTAAACTATATGACTATTATAAGTGGAACCAATTATTCACAATCGTTGATAAGATTATCTGTCTTTATCTGCTTCTATATTCTTTAATTTAAAAAAAGGAGTATATTTTTGTAGAACTGACAGAACATATTAAATTCCGAAATAATTCTATGTTGTCATAGTGATAAATTAATATAGGAATTTTGTCATTTTTTCAGTCTTCATGATTAAATTACTAAGTTTTTGTCATAATTGCTTCTTTACCTTCACACCTGTGTGAATAATTATTGTGTATGTTTTACAAACATAAATATTTTTTACATGGTATACCTTCAATATGTATTAGAAGCTTGAGTATATACACAAAGGAAGATATCAGGATTTATTTTTTCTGAATTAATGTTTCTGCCTTAACGTAAATGTAGAAATTCCAAAACTAAAAAATTATAAATACTGTTTTTCCCAATTAAAGACCCCCCATGTTTTGTGTAACTTATTTAACTATTTTTCTTTCTCAAGTCTTCTGGTCATCTGATGCATTTTGAAATTACTTAATCTTTTGGAAGACTTGCTACTAAATACATTACACAAAGGCAAATGCAAAAGAAATACAACATTATTAATAATACCATTAGTAAATGCAAATGCAGTGAAATTCCTGTTAAGTAAATGAAGACATAAGACATGGAGAGTTTTAATATTTGGAAATAAAGTTTGGCACAAAATGTCTAATCCACTGTTTTAGATAACTGTGTGTAAATGTGGCATTCTATCCTGCTATTGCTGAATGATTGTTATTAAAGGAAGCTAACTGGCATACTAAATTATGTGATCCAATGTTGAAGTATTATTATAAATGAAATTGATTCGGGAAAACAATATTCTAATTATTCTAATATATAAAATGTCCCTACTCGCAAAGAGTGCGAGTAATGTTGTTAGTATGAAACATGCAGGTACCCACTGAAGAAGTAAAACTTTTATACAAATCTTAGGCAATTAGATTCGTCAAGGCTATTTTAGAGTCTGGTAATGTATCCAGAAGATAATGGGAGGACTCAGCCATTGAGGCTAGATCTGCTTCCAATAATGCCAACTGAAGTTCTCTTCGTGCCTTCTGCACAACATACACCATTAATGAAATACCGATTAGTATCTGGAAATTAAATGGACACATGTACAAAATACATTTACTCGTAGATCATATATATTTTACCACATTGATTGAAGTACATATTTACCTGAAAACAGAAAACAATATAACCAGTTGCTGCTGTTGATCTATCCTCAAGAACATCTTGCATGGATCGTAGACTACTACCCAAATAAATATTAATAATTTGGGCAGGTAGTAAACCCAATGCACTAGCTATATGGTACTGAATGCCACCCATGTTACTTACCTAAATATTTACATCATAATATTATTATAATTATATATTTATTCATGTATATGGTACTAAAAGAACCGGTACATACTGCAAAAATAGTGTTTTGCAGACCAAAAGGGATAGGAGTTAATCTCGCAAATAACACGACTTTGAAAGTCTGTGGTCCAGATATAACTCTAAGTATTGCTCTTGCAGTGTCATTTTGCAAAAGTGCCCCAATTGGCAATTTTGATGACAATACACTAAGAGTAACATGTGCTATGGCTATTCCTAAATTAGCAGACAATACTACCATCATGATGCCTCTTATAATACCAAAGAGGTAGCCACTAGCAATGATAAGGAATAAATAACCAATTATAATAGGAAATGAAACCACAGTGAACAGAGCAATAAATATTATGGTAACAATCCACATATTCTGATGTTCAATCCAATAAAGTAGCACTTTGATGTAGTCTCTGCAGATGAAGACTATTGCACCCAATAAAGCTAATGTAGCAATAGTCACAAAAATGTAACATATTGAATTTGAGTTTATACAATTGTATTGTATTGATGTAGAATTCTTTGATGAACGAACACCAGCTTCCACATCCTCTATATTAATTATATCCATGACCACTGCATTCGTTCCTCATTATGTATATGGAAACAATCACTTAATTATCATCCTTCTGGTATAACCTATTTAAAAAAAACATTAGATAATATTTTGTAACATGTAATTCATAGGTCATGTTCTCATCAGCTCTTTTGTTTCTTACACATCATAAGTGGTATACTCCATGTTATTCTACAGTAGTGATAACATTATATGTAGATATTAAAGTACTTATATGTGTGTGTGTGTGTGTCATAGAGATATATATATATATATAATATATACACACACACACACACAACATCTTTGATAAGATAAACTATATACTACTTAGTTTCCTGACAATAACAAAAGTGTTTCCAATAATTTATAAATCAATTGTATTATTATATTTCATAAATAAAATACAAGTAATGTGATCTCTGTATGCCTTTGTCGAAAAAGGAGGTAAATGTGAAACAATATTTATATTACATTTTCAAAACAACATAAATATACAGTCACAAAAAAAATTGGTAAATTGCATTAAATTTCATTAATACATTGATTATTTCAAGCATTAAGATTTACACATTAAGTTGTATTACTCTAAACGCGCATTATATGAAAACGTCTTAAATGAATTTTATAAGGCGCTATAATTATTATCCGGTGATTCGTAATTATTCTATTCGTAAAATCAACGAAAATCAATGCAAATAACAAATGAATAAGCAGATTATTTTTACCTCGTGACATTATCATAATAAATAGTCTTGTAAACCGTTGTTTTCCGACTTTTCTTTCATCACTGCTTTATACCAAGATTGTATCGATTCCTCTTCCCTTTCTTCGTACTACTGTGCATTCTTATGAAAGAGTATAATGGGTTCACAGTAAAAATACAAATTAAATAGCACGTTAAATACACAACACCTGACAACACCTTGTAACACCTAATTGAAATCCGTTTATGTACGTTATGTACTGTTATGTACGTTCATGTACGTTTTTCGTTCGCATTGGTTCGCATCGAATCATAGACATATACAATAGCTGCGCGGTCTTATAGTAGAGATGAAGCAAGACCAAAGGACAGAAGTAGCGCTGGAGTAACTCCTCTGCATAAAAGACTCCATGAGTGTGAAATGTACTGTGTAGTAGCTTGTAAGAGGGGTCCTAGAACCCCCGGGGCATTCGTAAGAGCCCCCGTATGTAATGTGTGTATGAGATGAACTGTGTAGCTTGGTAAGGGGGCCTGGAACTGGAATAATTTCTGGTCTATTTTAAGTATTCTTTTCTCCTTTGGTTTTATATAATTATAGTACACGCGACTTCGCGCTAATATAAATCTCCTGTCACTAATGTCACCGAACTGCACTGCCGAAAATGTCAGTACAATATAATAAAACATGCCCTCGTTCAGTTCATTTCGTTTAACCGAATGCGAGTTTTCCACTGCACCTGGGTAGTTTTTTTCGTCGAATACGATAGAAAAGTTGCACGTTAATAGTACAACACAACCGAATACGATTATTGCACTCCACTGGAGCAGAGAGCATCATCCGAATATGCGGCCCCGAATAAGTTGACATTCGGTGCACACTGGTGTGCCGCACCATGTAGATAATCGAATTCGCTATATAAGTAGTGAACAACACGCATGTATCTTGACCCTTCATGACCGTCTTGATCGTCCTGACCGTCGATTTCCGCGCGTGGAATTCCGCGATTCTTTCGTTGGAAAAGAAAATTCATCGGTACCGGCTCGGTGTGAGGCGCATGAAATAGATGTCGCCACGTCGACAAACAATCCCGTTACAATTCTTTAAAAAGATACAAATGTACACATTTCTTTGATATTCAGACGTTAAAAATATTGAAATTGAATTTTTTGACGACATAACAAACAGACGTTTCTTTTAACTCGAATTTCGGTATATTTAACGAATGATGCGAAACGATTCCCCTACTCGTTGACTCAAAGGAACGCCATTGTGAGCCATAACGACTGTGTCGCAGGGTAAGTTTTATCGGTCATTTTCACGTACACGTCACTTGCCGGGAAATTTTGTACTTATCTCCTCCAATTTGTGAAAATTTCATGTGAATTAAACGACAACACGTTCGACCGTTCGTGGTTTTGTAAATGTTGGACGTACAATTGTATTTTAAGAATAACGTAAAAGCTGTATCTTGCGTTTCCACGGGAGGCGCCATTCTCTGAGAACGTGGTGTATTTGTACATCAACTTGCGGCCCAAGAGCGCGGGATATCGGTCAACCGGCTTTTTCTGCTACTTTCGAAAGTACGTTTAATTCACAGTTTGGTAAGTGCAGTCTTTCAACTGCAGGGCACGCGGTTTATTCTTTATGGTTCTATTTCCTCAGCGCCCGTAACACTTGATCACGTTTTTAACGCGTGATACAAGTCGGTCCTAGCATCTGCCAGTGGTTCCGAAACGGTAGGATCTTTAACCACGCACGATAGTGGAATTGTTTCACTTTAACGCGATCTTTAACCTGAAACGTTCGAAGCGTGATACCATAGGGTGTATATCTCTGACGTGGATATTATTTTTCTAGAGTAGTGACTATTTTCATTTAGCGTCATTATTCCCTTTTCAGATTCATCAATTCGTTATTTCGATAAACTGTAACAAAACAATATCAAAATGGCACAAGAAGCTGATATGCCAACATTCAAGTGTGTCCTCGTCGGTGACGGTGGTACTGGAAAAACGACGTTCGTCAAACGGCATTTAACCGGAGAATTTGAAAAGAAATATGTGGCAACTTTAGGTGTAGAAGTACATCCTTTGATATTTCACACAAATCGAGGACCAATTCGGTTCAACGTATGGGACACAGCTGGTCAAGAGAAGTTTGGCGGTCTAAGAGACGGTTACTACATTCAGGGACAATGCGCCGTTATTATGTTTGATGTTACATCCAGAGTTACGTACAAGAATGTACCAAATTGGCATAGGGATTTGGTGCGAGTCTGTGAAAACATACCTATTGTACTCTGTGGCAATAAAGTCGATATTAAAGATAGGAAAGTGAAAGCCAAGAGCATTGTTTTCCACAGAAAGAAGAATCTGCAGGTAATAGACTATTGTACATGTATGTACAGATATGGAGTCCTCGCAAAAATTCAGCATGGTCGTAATTAATACATCAAGCGGCGGCATCGATTGATGCCGCGGCACTTGAAGCCGTATACCCTCCACTGAATAGTAGAAATACTGGAAATGCTAATTACTATTTCAAATGTTTGTATTGTGTATTTCAATGTATTGTATAGGGTGCAAAGCCTTAGCCGCAGTTTCAGGCCCTTATGTCCTCATACTTCTGTTAATTCGGATGTCCTGACACTCGAACATGTTTATTTTATCGCTCGACTGATTTTATGACCACCCTGTATTTGCGAGGACTATACGTGCATAGATGTTCCGCCTTAAAAGTCTTAATAATACAGAAAAGTATTTAACAATGAACGTTCTGAAACTATAATACGTTCGTTCGCATGCAAATTTTCAATGTTTCAACGCGTTCACTGTGAATAATACCATTTTCCATGTTTTCAGTACTACGACATCAGTGCAAAGAGCAATTACAACTTTGAAAAACCGTTCTTATGGCTGGCGCGCAAACTCATCGGTGACCCGAATTTAGAATTTGTTGCAATGCCGGCTCTTCTTCCCCCCGAGGTCACCATGGATCCACAATGGCAACAACAAATCGAAAAGGATCTGAAGGAAGCACAGGAGACCGCGTTACCAGAGGACGACGAAGACCTTTAGTTTCTTACATCGCGCTTATGATCCGAACAGAGGCATACCTTACAGAACCGTACCTCAGGTGTTATGTTCTCGAGCCTCTCGATAGATCGAAAATACTTTCTTTGAAGGAATTAAAATTCGCGTAAAATTTTGTTCGATACGTTAACAACGGTAAAAATATTTCTGTGATTTCACACTTCACGCGAACTTTATCTTAAAGAAGGGATACAGGAATTGAACGCTACATTTTCGCACATACAGACCGTGTGCGTAAACGTAGTACACGTAACCTCTAATTTTATACGAGTACTGAATGACCCAAGCATAGCGTAAGCCTTGTCGGTGTGAAAGTGAAGGCTTTGATCGATGCACAAAATTTTCAAAATTTTACACATCGAAATTAAAAGTCGTTCGTTAATCGACGTTGTGCTGGTTCTACATTCTTCACTCCCCTAACGTGTTGTAAATGTGTGTGCGTGAGTAAGCGTATGTAGGGATGTTCCGATACCGTTGAGGTATCGATACTTTTACTTGTTATTTGTATCGAAAGAAAGTATCGGTACCTACTCAGTATCGATACCTACTTGTATCGGATAAAAAATTAAAAATTAATACAGTTCTTTTTTTAAAAAAATTTTCATTACGATACTTCATTAACAGAAATTAACAGAAATTGAAATATTTTATTAATAGAAATTTATTTTATAAGATTAATCAAATAATGCTTCAATCCCCCAAAAACAATAATTTTTCTAAATGTTTGCCTGTTAGTCTATTCCTAGTCTGGGTAATTGTTGCCGCCTTTGAAAATAACCGTTCACAAGAAACAGAAGAAGCAACTACTACCAGGAACATTCGTGCTTGTTTATAGAATAACAGATACATTGTTTTTATATCTTCCCATTCTTCTAAAGGAGAATAGTGCAACACAGAAACAGGGAAAGATAAATAGTTTGATAGTTGATCATTTTTATTGTTATTGTCTTTTTGCTGATCTACTGCTAGTTTTTTGTGGTGATTCCAAAAATCGTACTCTATTTCAGTTTCTTCTGATTCTGTTTCACTGCCAGGACCAGGATCAGTGAATTGTTTGATTAAATCTTGTAATTTTTTAATTACCCTTCCACAAGCATGTGGGTCCCGAAAGTGTATGTTTTGAATCGTGGGTTCCGCAATGTTGCAATTGCTGCATGTGCATTACATTCAATTCCTCCAAATCTTTTATTTATTTCCATTACTAGAATGTTTTGTGTGTTTTTAATGCAGTCAAATGTTGAATCAAATTTGGTAATTTCTGTTTTTAAGCAATTTACCATTGTTATCACTTTCGATAATGTGATATAATTTTGGCCTGAGGACTCAGTAGTCACAAATTCGAACGGTTTTAATAAGCAAATTAATTGTGCGATCATTTCAAATTCGATAGCAACTGGCATATCAGGCCCATTGCAATCATCAATTAAGATTTCTGAACAGATTTTAAAAATATCAATAAATCTTTGTAACATGTAGTACACTGGATTCCATCTAGTACTAATATCTAAAATTAATTTTTTTAATTGATACTCCTGGAACCCCGCTGCGTAATTGAAATTTTCGGAGCTGGTCTGAATTTATAACACTACTTTTTATCCATTTAACAATACCTCTAATTTTCGAAATGATAATTTTTATAGAATCATCTTTTAATGCAGCTTCAACTATTAAATTGATTGTGTGAGGAAAATATGGAAGATGTTTCTTTTCTAACCCTACTTTTTTAACTGCTGCAACTATACTTTCCCCCATTATCTGTAATAATACATCTGATTTTGGACAGTGGAATATTCCATTCAACCAATATATTACTGGAGTACAGTAGCAAGATATAATCTGCTGTGTGATTGCTATCAAGTTCTCTTGTGGCAATATCACAATTTATTGTTTCAATACGTTCAACAAAATGTATCAATGTCACCGTTGATCATAACTATGTAGGCTGTCGATTTTTATGCAAAATGACATTTTCTAAGTAATTTTTTACAACAACAAGGGTAGGAATTTCTTTCTTTTCTTAAATATCTTATTGGGTTCAGAATACAGTAGAAAACACATTGCATCCGACGAACGTTTTTTCACTTTTGTATTATACTAAGCCCTATTGGCTATAAATGCATAAAATCCGCTGTATAATCATCTCGATCATCATTATGACGATCAATGCCGATGAAGATAGGTTATTTGGGCTTGGGTAAGGCTGTGCATACACATGCATTGTACTACAGTACTCTCGCTGTGTCGATCGTATCGATACTCGTTTTATTCGATACGAGTATTTCTTTTTGATATCTAGTTGGTATTGCAACCAAAAGTATCGATACTAAAAATACTCGGTATCGAATATGTACTCGTATTTACTTGAATCGGAACGATCGGAACATCCCTACCATACCTAAGCGTATGTTGTATGGCACGATGATGTACTTATTTAATGTAACCGATAAAATGATTTCTCGCTAATGTCATATCGTCGTAGTACAACAACGGAGTAATTCCGTAAGAAAGAATTTATCGATATAAAAAAAAATGCTGATTTCTAGAAGTCACTATGGCCGGGATTCATAGAATATAACCCGGCACTATCTCCATTCCTATTCCTAATATCAATTAACCAAAAAACTAATAAGAAATAATAAATAATTACAAAATAATTAATTCTAAAACTTTTAAGTTTTGGAAAAAGTTCTGGAATCTGTTACTCAAGGAAGTCTGTATAAATAAGTACAATAATAGGCATGTAATTAATTTTCTTAATAAAAATGATATTTTAATTTATTCTTGTATTAACAACCTCGAAACTTGTGAAACCATAGTCTCGGTTCATAAATTAATATCAATATTCTAAAAATTACATGAATTGGTAACGTATACGTAAGAGACCCCGTGTGTCAAGGCGTGGGGTCATAGAACCCCCGGTCGAGGCGTCAGAGACCCCGTCTGGGGAACTAGTGGGGTCATAGAACCCCCCGGAGATAAGGTCATAGACCCCACGTGGTGAGATGGCGGGGTCATAGAGCCCCGACGGAGGCGCCAGAGACCCCGTGTGTTGTGAACGTGGGGTCACAGAACCCCCGCGGGTGGCGCCAGTGACCCGGGTGGTGAGGACGTGGGGTCATAGAACCCCAGAGCACTGCAAAAGACCCCCGAGCGTGCCCGGGACTGAGGTCATAGAACCCCCGGAGCATGCGCAGGAGACTCCACGTGTGTGAGATGTATGTATAATTTATTTAACATGATAACTTATATGACGTGTATCGTATATAGTTTATACATACGTTTATGTTCAAGTGTTTTATATTTTATATTAAATATTTAAATAAATGTATGAAGTATAGTAGTATTTGGAAATAATGTTACGATTGATATGAAGCAAGATTCGTAGTCAGTTACTCCTGTCCGGAACAATGACGACTGTTTGTTATTTTTATAAGCGGAGGTAAATGTTCGATTTGTTCGACTTAAATTATATAAACAGTGTTTTTCTTTCCTACGCAAAAAAGGTTCGTTACCGTTTTATTGGGAGGCAGAGCGTTACACAGTTTCTTCTTTCTTAATTCCTCTAACTCTAGTCTATCATGGATGAAAATAAACGAGTGCACCGTGAACGGAATTATAACACGGAACCTTTCTCGACGAGAGAAATTGACAAAACTGAAAAAACGAAGCACTTATTATAGAGTGTTTTGTAATTTTCTGCTCACAAAAACTTGTACCAATGATATATTGAGTTCAATAAATCGTCCTTGAACTGTTTTCAATGTTACATCTTCAAACCTTACAAAAAAGCACACAGTGTCATATTACTCTCTATATATGTATATTCTTTGTAAAGTACTGCGTTTGCAGAAATAACGGGGAAAATGTCGCCTTCACATCGCACAATATGCAAACTATACAATTATTTTGTACACGAACCGTTTATTAAATGCTACTTGAATAAGATTTTCCACGGTTACATACGACTAAAAACATAACGTCGAAATAAACACGTATTTACAGTAATATATGATATCATAAAAATAAACTTATCTCTCAAAATTAATTTGTAGATGAAAAAATGCACACATATATGAAATTAATGCTTGACCTATACTGCAATTTCGCTACATATACGTATGTGGTGTATGTGTGTATATATATATATATGTATGTATTTAAAAATTAGTTGAACGACACCCATAGATCGCACTAAATCGATTTAACCCTGTACTTTTTCAACTTTAGATTTCTTTTTACCCTCCAGAAGTTGCACTCGCTCGACTTCGGTGAGCGGTGTCAAAACATTCGTCACCACTCCGGTTGCCAAGGTATGATGTCCATCTCGTAATGTAAATCTCTGCCCCTTTTCGCAGACCATCGGTCTTATCAATTTTAACACGGCCCTATAAACAAAAGTATCAAATACAATATCTGCTCGACAGTGGACAGTCGCAAGATGAAGACAAATTTTTTCTTTTCTCATAACAGACATGTATAACACTTACGTAAAATCTTCCCCAGGCATAACCAAATCTTTCTTCTGCAAGTTCATTTGCGTCGCAACGTCCCAGGTTTTGCAAAACATTTGAGCATGCATTTGATTATTTATGGGCTTCTTTCTACCTCCTTCCGCGGAGGTCAACATGTATATCTGACATTCCATGTGATCGTGAGCTTTCATTGTGCCAGGCTTGCACATTATCATACCTCTTCTAATATCTTCCCTCTTCAGACCACGAACTAAAGCACCCAACTGGTCTCCAGCATGGGCTTCCTCCAGTAATTTATGAAACATCTCTATTCCCGTTATGATACTTTTGAAGCGCTTGTTAAAGCCAATTATTTCGCACTCATTACCCTTCTTTATTTTGCCACGCTCCAATCTGCCTGATACCACTGTCCCCCTACCAGCGATAGAAAAAACACTTTCTACAGGCATTAAAAAGGGTTTGTCTAAATCTCTTATAGGAGTTGGTATATGAGAATCCACAGCATCCAATAGTTTCAATATAGATTCCTTTCCTATTCCCGGATTGTTCCCCTCCAATGCGCAAAGTGCGCTGCCCGTTACGATAGGTATCTTATCTCCGTCATAACCCATTTCGGTAAGCAATTCCCGAATCTCCATTTCCACCAATTCGATCATTTCTTTGTCTGCTGCATCAATCTTTCCACAAAGAAGGATAAAAATTAAATAAAGTTTAACGCATCAATGTCGTTGTTGTTCATTCTAAGATTAGAAAGTTATACCTTGTTAACGAAAACTACTATATGGTCAATGCCAATTTGTTTGGCAAGAAGTACGTGTTCTCTTGTTTGAGGCATAGTACCATCCGTAGCAGCAACCACAAGAATAGCTCCATCCATCTGTGCCGTACCCGTAATCATATTTTTAATATAGTCGGCATGGCCAGGACAATCCGTGTGTCCGTAATGACGGTTGTCCGTTTCATATTCGATGTGAGCTGCATTGATTGTAATACCACGTGCTTTCTCCTCGGGTGCATTATCAATTTCCGCGTAAGCTTTTATCTGTGCTAACTCTCTTTCGGCCAGAACTAACAAGTAGAGAAATAATTGTAATGCTATTATATCGACTAACAGGTTGAAAGAAAGGGACTCAATGAATGGAACAACCGTGGTACACAGTGTAGGGGAGAAAAAAATCAGTGAATCAAATCCAGGCCCTTTTACTCTACGGGCGGCTACTCTTTATAATTGAGCTATCCGGACTGTCAGCGATTTTTCGTCTTCGAATTCATCTTTATAACGTATGTACACAAAGATGGCTGTTGCCGCCGCACTACCGCTTCTTAAATTACCTTTAGTGATTGCTGCTGTGAGCGTTGTTTTCCCATGATCGACGTGGCCAATCGTGCCGACATTACAGTGCGGTTTGTCTCTGGAAAAGACTTTCTTCTCAGCGTAAAATCTCTGTGTTGTAATACACGGTAAAAAGGAGCCGATACCTAACCTAGAACGAAATTGCTGGAACGACGAAGTTATTTAATGTGATAATTGTCGAGAGAAACTACCTAAATAGTTGTAGTTGTAGACAGAAAATTTTTAGTAAAATTCTCTTACGTGTTTAACGAGATGTTCGAAGTAAAACAATTGGTTTACTGTCCGTTTGAGTACTGAAAAAAGGAAACCGTTAAAACGCATAATTATGTTCGATTCGCTTCATCTTGTGTAAAATGTAATGTGGTGATATGAAAAATAGAAAAGATTTCCATGGATTTACATACCCGGGTTAAAAATAACTTTCCCGGAATTAAATGCCATGTCTATCAATATGTATTGCTGTTCAAACCGCGATTATTAGACAACTAATTAACTCGTGTTATAATATCCAGACGAGTGCTTCACAGTTCACAGTCATTCACATCAATTCACATCAATTCACAGTGCTTCAGAATGCCGTGCATAAAGGTATAAGTAAACTACAGTAGCGGCACATGCGGCAAGCGGCAGTGAGTGGAACTATGTATTCGTTAACTTATGTATTCGTTATTCGGCATGATTGAATGTGCACAATGTATGTGATAATGATTTACGTGTACTTACGACAGTTGTTTCTGATCGTTTCACTTCCTCTTATTTGTAACGCTCGTGTTATTTACTGCTTTAATTTTACTTTTTATATATCACATTTAAATAGAGGCAGCAATGATTTTGGGTTTTCATTATGAGAACACCGCGCATTGCGTACATGTAGATATGTACATCATACATACGTATATATGTACATCCACCCAGTCAGCCAACCTGCAAAGCCAAATTTCGTCCAATGCCTTTTACATATAATGTTATGTATACATGTATATTCAATAACTTCTCATAATTTAAAAGGTTTTGATTTTTTCACTACATTGTACCGTACAATGCCGTACACGTAGACATACATGTACATAGGTACGTTGAAATAAAAATGCAAATTAATGTCCTCTAGCGATGGAATTTTATATTGGTGAATAGCTTGGGAATTTCATCGTAGATGGCGCCATCATGTAAGTTTTTGTGGCGGAAATTTAATTTAAAAAAAATCTATTACTGGAATCTTCCGGAAATGGTTGTAAGTCTTTCAGGACAATAATATTTAATATTTAATAACTTTTTATAATTTGTAATTTGTAGCATGACTGTTCGGTAGTTTCTGGAAGAACGTCATTATACATATGTATGGTATGTATGTATAGGTACGTAAACGAATGTTGACATTTTTACTGACCAAGGTCTGGACATTTTCACAACACAACAAGGAAATAGGTTTTCAACATTCTCTGTAATCCGATCGTTCTTCTTTTTTCGGTAGAAAATGGGACCGGACGAGACGCAAATACGCACGCGATGAAATTAATGACCGAGGGCTAATTAATCCTGAGAGAATAACGAGCATCAGAATGGTCGGTAATGTCGTCGTTACTGCATAATTTGCAGATACTTGGCCACATGAAGACTTATAATCGGAGAGACGCATCCGGAGTGCAAGAGATAAATTAGAAAAGATATCGTATAATTGCAGTACTATCGTATACTTACTTGGTGTATTTCGAAGCAAATCACGGAAGATAGGATGTCGAGGATGATCTATGTATCGCTTTATTGATTCGAATGAGTTGCGAAGCTGTGGTTTCGTGAATTTGACGATGCGAGTTGATAAAAATTTTCCTCCAATAATATCGAGATGTATGTACAACAACGGGTAGTGACGCGTGGTCGAAAGTTTAACGGTTCTCGAGCGTACATGTATACCTACATGTACCATCCGCGATCACGTTCCTCTTGCTTTTTATCGTCATCTTTTCGCATCTCGTGTATATGTATGTATATCGTTTTTTACAGAACGATCGGACAAGTGTCGATGTCAGTTTCTAATTTCGTCAAGCCTCGACAGTTTCTAATTTCGTTTAACTACATTGCGTTTCTTTTACGGGTTTATCGTAGTTTCGAGCGGGTCCTTTACCCCATACCGGAACCCCGTCTCTCGGAGATTCTCGCGGCAACCTCTTTTTCTTTTGTTCGAGCCTTGGACGATCCTCAATTTACATTCCGACGTATACATATAGTTGATCGCCACGTTGCTTCCTGTTACCCGTGCGATTCCCACTTTCCGTTTCCCGCTTTTCGTTTCCCCCACATGCCACTTGCTGTTTTTCAAGCAGACAGAAACGGAGAGACTCGCGTGTCACAAGAAACGAAATCGGTGACACAACAAATGAAAACACCCTGTTGCAGCTAAGTACTTATGGAAGAACCGTTTGTTCAGGTGCAACCATTCGAATCATCCATGGACGATAAAAGTATAGACAAAGATGACGGTCTCGTTGGAATACCAATGAATTTCGAGCGTAGCCTGTGCGTGAGCGGAATTCTATATAGGCCGCGCGGCACTTGTCGTTCCTCATCCACTTCCTTTCCCTCTTCCTGCACGTGTTTACGTGACCCCCGATCGATCGGATCTCACCACTCTTGCGACGAATATCCCGTAAACCTATGGTAACCTATCGTTACGGACGGTTAAATGATTTTTCGATCGCGCGTTCCTGTTTTCGCGGAAAAAAGGGGAAAATGACGAAAACAATCGCGGAAGGGAAAGCGATTCGAAGGATGAAATTACGATCGCAATCGAGACTAACGATGAGACTAAGACCGAGACCGAGACCGTAGTAGACCATGGTAAAGAGTAAAGAGGTGGGAGAACGAGGGAACGCGGTTCTCTTTGCTTTACCATGGGCCGAGCACGGGGACTGAAAGCAAACAGGGGGGTCTGTTCAGTCCGCTTTCAGTAATCCAGTCGTATGTACGCGCAGCAGATAGCGCACACTTGAAAATTCCCATCGTTTGCACGTATCTCTTTCAGCGAGTTAATTACCAGAAAGGATACAGGATCGACAGCGAATCCTCGGACAGAGTCGATCGACTATCGAACCGGAAATGATTCGTGGAAGTTGTCGGACAATTTTCCTTCTTGTCGTCGCGATTGACTATTTGGTGAGTTTGAATGACCATTTCGATTTCAACGAACTCTTCGGTTATATTTTCCACCATTTGTTGGGTGATTTTCTATTCGCAAAAGAGATGACAACGAAAAAGCGTGTCACAGGATCGTGCGCGCTCGACGAGGGCTATTTCAACGTAAAAAACGTAACATCGAGATAACGATTCGAAATTTCAAAGATTCTAGCATCGTTTCATCCGGTAGTATCGCAAGTGGTTCGACGATGACCGATAAAACGGCAAATCTTACGGTTGCTCGTGTTCGTTCGCATCGTCGATTTCGCTACCGACTGACTAACGGTGCGCATACGCCTGAATACGCCTGAATACGCGTGGATACCCGTGGGCCGTGGACACGCGTGCGAAACGGTTGTCGTGTTGCATCTTTTCCCTTCTGTTCTCGGAGAGGATAGTTCCCATTAGAGTTACTGTCAAAATTCTTCGAAGGTTCGTCGTGTTTCAGGATATCCTCGTGTGTTCGCCAACAAGCAGAAACGCGAAGCTAGGCGATCGGTGCAACGAGGAGGAAAATTGCAGTTCCAGCATTGTCGGTAGTCACTGCCGTTTCGGTTACTGTCGGTGCACACCGTATTTCGCTCGATACAACGAAACGCATTGTCTCGAGGGTGAGAGAATTTCTTTCGTATCTTCTCGCGAGAATTCTCTAGCCTACGCGCAGACCTGCAGGAGGAAGTAACGATGAGCTTTCGTTTATTTCTTTTTTCCGATGAAACAGCGACACTTTTGGGCCAGGAATGTTTGGTGGAGGAGCAATGTTCTTTGAAGGTGGCCAACAGCGGTTGCTTCGACGGACTTTGTAGTTGCAAAGAAGGATTCTTGCAGTTTCGTCGGCACACCTGTCTGGGTCGTAAGTGACGGGCTTTTTCTACGAAATTTCAACCAACAGCGATTTAACATACCTACCGTTCGTTAACATTTTTTTGATTCAGCGGCAAAACTCGGCGAGGTCTGTTACGAGCACGCCCACTGCAGACTCTGGCAAGAGAATTCTCATTGCGACTTTTTCATTCCTGACTTGTTTGGCCGATGTCAGTGTACCGCGCCGATGCGACGGGAAAACGATATTTGTCGAGTGGACGATCTCGTCAGATCAACTTCCTATGCGGCCGGTTCGACGAAAGCGGACACGGGGACCGAGGACGATCTAGATTCGGTGTTCGAAGATCGACCGGAGGAAATAGGTTTGACTCGAAAAATTTCTCGGATCTAGATTCCAGAAAAAAAATAGTACCGATTCGTTTCGCAGACCGAATTCCAATTACTTGGCCAAAGACCGATGTAACTAGAATCCCGGTGAAACTGTTGTGGGAAACGGAGAGCACGGATGACTCGAGGGTTAATCCGACAGAGCCGAACGTCACCGAGGACGACGACACGATCGTCGTCGAAGCGGTAACGGAATCATCGACAATGCCGATCTCAGGTTGGTCATTGGGTAAGTCGAAGAAAATCGAAAGAAATCGATATCGAGGCGGCGTGGCGTGGCGCGACCGCGACGTCGTGTCGGATCAGAAGGCCTGAAAGATCGATGCTTCCGTAGGACCCGAGAAAGCGGATCGACACGAGGTGACCGCAACGACACCTGTCAGCCTTGGTCACGACTGTGTCTCCGATCTGGAGTGTCGTCTGGCCGATCCGTATTCGAGGTGCATCGAAGGGATCTGCGAGTGTGGGTTCCAAGGGAACACGAGCTGCTCCGCGAGAAACAGAGGATGTACAGCCGGTACTTTTCAGTGCAAAAGCTCCGGAGTTTGCGTCAGCTGGTTCTTCGTCTGCGATGGGAGGCCGGATTGCGCGGACGGATCGGACGAGCAGTGTTCCGATCTAGAGTATCGATGCCCGTCCGGATCGTTTCGTTGCGAGAAAAGCAAATTGTGCGTGTCGAGAGCGGCTCTCTGCGACGGCGCTCGCGATTGTCCGCACGGCGAGGACGAGATTGGCTGCAACAACAGACGAAGTACGTGTGACGATGTAGATTTATGTATCATACTTTTATATTCATGGGCGTAGCCAGAAGGAGGACATTGTGGTCTCCCCCTCTTCTCTGGACGAAAAAACTGACTTTTACCCTATCCTCGAAGAAGATAACCTGCCTATACCGATGTGTACATCTAAATATAATATACATATATTTTGCTATTAAGCTTTTCATCGGTGGATCGTTAAGTTATATCTATCGGATTGGATTTACAGAATGTCCGGACGGAGCATTCCGATGCAACAATGGTCAATGCTTGCCGGCGTATGAATTTTGCAACGCCGTGGTGTCCTGTCGAGACGGTAGCGACGAACCAAGGGAAGCGTGTCGAACACCAAACCGTGGACGAATCTCCTCGAGGCAGTGCCCATTCAGGTGCGACAACGGGAGATGCCGATCTGACGCGATCGTTTGTAGCGGTCGCGACGGTTGCGGAGACGGCTCGGATGAGAGACGTTGCTCCGTTTGCAGTTAGTATTCTTTTTCTATCCTATCTCTATTCGTTATCCGTTCGCTCTTCTGTTTTTCACGGACGGACGGATGGACGGTAATTTTCCCGGTGCTCGCGATACTGTGTAACTACGTGCTACTCTAGTTTGAACGTTATCTATCGCATTTCTGTTTCAGGATGTTCGACATTTCCTTAATTTACTCGCGAACCCTTGGATGCATCGAAATGGCCGTGGTGCTCTCGTGATACTCCAGAAAAATCGAAAACACAAGAAATTCGTAAAACGGTCCGAGGAATTGTAAAGAAAAAAATGTAGGAACGCGATCGAACGAAGAAAGAAAAGTTTACGAAAGGAAATTCGAGTTTCGGGATTGCGTGCGACTGAGCAGGATGATACCCAACCAGCCTGGAATCGTAATCCACTGTCCGATACGATACAACGCTGTTTCGTTTCGCGATCGATACACTTTCCACCAACAAGCAATTCTTATTGAAATCGACCGAGAACACAGAAATAACTCCCTTCCAAATACGATTACGCGCGGTATTAGGCAATTTTATTCTTAGACGGTCGCACTTGGTCAAAGTCGACACACACGGCTCGTCCCCGATGCGAGAACTCAGACGGAATTCGAACCTTGAAGTTATGTGTCTAGGAGATCGCAACCGATCTGGGGATTACCGTTGGAGTCGGAAAATCGTCGTCGTCGTCGTCGTCGTCGTCGTCGTCGTCGTCGTCGTCGTCGTCGGGTGTACGTCAATACGCGAAAGAGACAACTAGAGATTGCGCTCCGGAAGTCGTACTAGGTAGTTGAATGACAAGGCTTTCCGCGGGGACGAGAAATCCCGCACCCATGAGAGTCGTGTTTGTTAAACCCTCGAGGTGAGTACAGAGGAGACAGCAGAGACACAGACACTCTAAATACCAGCAGACAAAATGATCGACCGTGTGTTCGTCGGCCTTCGTCGTTGCACGTCGTTTCTCGTCGCCCTTTGACCTTATTCGCTCTCTCGGTGTTGCTACGCGTCGCGGATCGTCAGTGTTCGTTGGGACTCGGTCGAGAGTACGAGAATCGAACGAGTCTCGCGGGGTGTTTGCGTCGACGCAACACGTTCTCCCCTGATTTGGAATTACTATCGTAACACCGTCGATTCTCGTGTTCGTCTACCGAGCTCCGCGCGCGATTCTCTCAACCTACGATGGTCGGTATATCACTTGTTGAAACATCAAAGGAATCTAACATTTCGGGTCTTGGGGCAGTGGGGCCGGATGAATCGACACGTACGAGCCGTTGATTTGTTCGATCGTTCGTTCGTCGCGTCTGTCTGCGTTCGATACGGGAACACAAAGTCACTCCATGTATCTGGTGTTTGTGCACGGAGCCGTGTTGTGGTGTCAGCGATGCGCATGAACGATGACTATTGGCCGGTATCGCGCGAAAAGCAAAATTTCCTCCCCGAAATGGTACACACGCGACGGTGAAACAGTACAATACGGGTACGGGAAAATAGTCGGGACGCGACTACGAGCGACGACATCATGCGAAACGCAAAGAAACGATCTCGTTTCGTCGAGTACGTGTGCCGATGGCCCGGTCTTGTGTTGCTGTTGCTACCGATCGGTCTTCTGGCGAGCCTTTATGTTGCCTCCTCCGAGGAGGAATACAAATTCGAGCCTCGATATTCGAACTGGTACAAGTCGTATAATGTCACGGAAGGTGAGTAAAGACGTGTACAAAGGTATCGCCGTCTAGAGTAGCCTAAAGTAGCCTAATCCAGAGACCAGCGGAAATCGGGACTCGGCGCTTTCTCGTAGATTTCCCAGAAAGGATGGACGGTTACTTGGTGTGGAATCCTCGGTGCCAAATGCCCTCGAAACATCCGCTCGATCCCGCGATTCGATCTTACGTGAAAAAGGAGAGGTTCGAGAATTGCTCCAACGACATGCCGTTTACGGGTCTGATTCGGGAGGACAACGGCAGTGTGATTCTGTTCGTTGATCCCGCTGCCGCGGCACTTCGTCCCGGCTTGGAGTGTTGCTGGTCAGCCGTGCTCCGAGACACGAACAAATCGCCGGTGACTAAGGGAAAGCTGACGAGCAAGAATAACGGAGTCGACTCGTCGATCGTGTGAGTCTCCTAATCTCAACTGACAAACAGGTAACGCCGACACACGACACACCGACGATAGACCGACGATAGACCGACGATAGACCGACGATAGACCGACGATAGACCGACGATAGACCGACTATAGACCGACGATAGACCGACGATCAACCATCGCATCGAACGCGACTCGTTACGCGATCGGTCCGTTTTGCAGGGTGAAACGATGCGAGAGCTTCGACGGCATGACCGCGTTGCCAGACGGTATCGAAGCAGCGATGGTCGCCTGCAGCCAGAAGCCGAACGGCAAACCGATCTATCGAAACGTTCACGCGGTCCTCGGCCTCGACAAAGTACGCGGTCGTTTGCATCGGAACGACACTCAACCGCCGGAAGCAACCGGATCCACCGACCGTTTCGGCACCCTCTCTAGAAAGCTGAGCGTTCTCGTGATCGGCATCGACAGCGTTAGTCGTTTGAACTTTCTGCGCAGCGCGCCAATCACCGAGAAATACTTACGCGAAACCGGTTGGGTTCCCATGAACGGATACAACAAGATGGCTGACAACACCTTCCCGAATTTGATGGCGATTCTGACGGGACAGAGCCAAGAGCAAGCCTACTCGAACTGCAAGCCGACCACACCGTATAGCCTCGATCGATGTCCCTTTCTCTGGCGAAATTTTCGCGAGGCAGGCTACGCGACGGCCTACGGCGAGGACGAGACCGATATAAACACCTTCAACTATCTGAAAGTCGGTTTCGTTGATCCCCCAACCGATTATTATCTTCGGCCTTACATACTCGCTTGCGAGAAACTTCTCAAGGTGAAAAAGAGGTGCGCTGCAATTTCATCTCATTCTTTCCCCGTTTACCGTCAACCAACCACCATCTCCACTCGCTGCTCGCATTAAATCACTTTCATCAGTTTCCTTTATTTACAGGTTTCATCTGAAATACTGCACCGGACCCGAGACCAGCTTCGACCGGATTCTCGACTATGCGATCGAATTTGCGCGAACGTTCCTCGGCCTACCGTACTTTGGCTTCTTCTGGACCTCGAGTATTAGCCACGAAAACGCGAACGCGATCTCATCGATGGACGCTCGATTGTCCGCCAAGATCAAGTACTTGGAACGGGACGGTGTGCTGAACGACACGATGGTGGTGTTCCTGAGCGATCACGGGATGCGTTGGGGCCCGATCAGGAACACTTTTGTCGGCTGGTACGAGGAACGACTTCCGTTCCTTTATATCTGGCTGCCGGAATGGTTCCGTAACGAGCGACCGTACGCTTATCCGTCGTTGCGCGCCAATCAGCATAGGTTAGTCTCGCCGTTCGACCTGTACGAGACGCTCAGAGAGGTGCTCAGCTTGTCGGGCGGACAAGCGAAAGCGTCCCCGGCGTGCGCCGATTGCCGTAGTTTACTCGGTCGCGTGCCGCGGCAGAGGGGCTGCTCGAACGTTGGAATTTCCTCGCATTGGTGCGCCTGTACAGCGTTCAACCCCGCCGACCCTCGCGATCCGATCGTCCAGAAAGGCGCGCAAGCTTTCCTCGAGCACGTCAATGCTCGCGTCGACCCGTACAAAGATAAAAAAGGTAGACGGCTGTGCGCGAAGCTTCGCCTAAAGAAACTCCATCGAGTGGACCGCGCCCTCGATTTCACCGTCTCGACCGATCTAGCGTTCTTCTATCTCATACAACTCGCGCCCGGAGACGGTAAGTTCGAGGTGACCGTGCGATACCACGAGAACGCTACTTACACCGTTTCCGATCACGAGGTGAGCAGGCTCAACGCGTACGCGTCCTCCGCCAAATGTCTCGATCGCGGGCTGAAACAATACTGTCACTGTCTCAGGTAAGGGGGACCAGGCCAGGACCAGGCCATTTCCGAACTCGTCATTTCGATACCTCGACGTCGCGCGACTGCACCGCACCACCGGATTCCACTTCTGAAACGCGAACTTCGCGATCGCCAAAGAATCTACCAAAGTGCCAAATTCAATCCTCGTTGCATCGTCACGAATTTCTGCGTCGTTCGTTGTTCAAACTTTGCCTACCTTGCGTACGCTAATCGCAAATCCGTCACGATCGATCGCGCCAACGATAAAATCGTCGAGCATATTGAAACGCGCGTAGTAACTAGCCTGAACAAAAATATCTGTATCTCTATCTTTATCATTCTTTAGAAATATATATTTACACAAACACGCGCGCGCGCCCACATATATTTAAACATAAAACACACGCGCGCACACACACACACACATGCTCAGGCACGAACACAAACACGTGCGAAAGCGAGAGCGAGAGAGAGAGATAGAGATAGAGAGAAAGCACGCGCGCGCGCGCATATATTTTAGTACGTCTTTAATCGCTCTCTACTTGGACCGATGACGCGCTACGACGAAGCAGGTAACATCGACAAGATACAATATAGTAACATAGGACCGTTTTACGAAACCGCATCGTTGAGTTTCAACGACACGCGTACATGAAATAAAACATTTTTGCGAGAAATGTTAGACAAATTCTTTTTTTTTTTCTGGTTGATTCGCCCGAGAGCAAATCGCTCCGTGTTTCGGCGTCCCAAACAGCATAATCGTAACCGACTGTTTGCGACCGTGACCGACCGTCACGTTTCTGCGAGCCAAAACTCCGTCCAAAACTCTGATATCTTCACAGAGGCTTTCTAAGTCGCAGCTCGAATACCGACGGCCGCGGCGGTGTCGCTGGCTGCCGGAATCGATCAAAGTCGGATCGGAAACGTGCAGGAAGGTCTTCCGATTCATTTCGAATTCGCAATTACTCAGTTTCTCGTAGCTGTGTATCGCTCGAAACGTGCCGATTCTGCTAACATGGCCATCGCGCGAACAAACGGAGAACTTTCTTGCGGATCTCTTGAACGTGCTGCACGGTGTCGAAGCTGTCGTCGAACAGCTACTTGCGCATTGCCATTTTCCGGTTCTCACCCCGAAAAGTCGAACGATTGCGTTTTTCGATCGATAGAAATCTTCTCCCACCTCTTCCTCTCTCTCTTCTCCTTCTCCTCCTTCTTGTTTCTCCCCTTCCACGTCGTTTTCCTTATTCTCTTCTTCTTCTTCTTCTTCTGTTTTTTTTCGTTCCTCTTGCTTGACGGACACGCGTCGAAACGGCCAAATACGAGCGACATCGAAATCGCGAGGTTCCTGGGTCAAGATCGATCGGCAAACGGTTGCGCATCCGCAGGCTCCCTCGCAAGTACATCCAAATTGCGAAAGACCGTCGGACTTAACGCCGATATCGATCACGACTTCTTCGAGCCCTCGTTCGGTTGCTCGTTGGACCGTTTCCTCGGTTAGTCGGTTCGTTGATGTGGCTTCCGCGGTGATCCACTCGCCTCGTCCTCTTTCTCCGCATCCCGGCACGATGACGTTCGAAGCAGTGAGCGAGCTCCTCAGCTGCGAAACACACGAGGCATCGGCCGTGCCAATCGTACTCGAACTCTCGCGACTTCGAAGATACGCACCGAGAAGATCGGCGTCGATAGACACGGACGGCCGAGCTAGCATCACCGGTGTCGATTGCCCGCAGCTCCCTGACAGAGAAAGAGAGAGAGAAAGTTTTCCGGCCCTGCGTAACCATTGATGCCGTGGTTCTCTCGCCTCCTCTTCCTCCTCTCGACCGTTCCCACATTCGTTCTCGACCTTGCTTACAGTTTCACCTTCGACATTAACTTCGTCTACGCCTTCGCCTTCACCTTCGACTTGATCTTTCCTTTCGTGTTTATCCTCGCCTTCATCTACGCCTCTGCCTGTAGCCAAAGATTTTCACGTAGAACGGCTCGCTACGAAGAAATTCAATGAAAGCACTTACGCGTGTTCCCAAGATTTTCGAAGCCAGACTGGCTAAAATTTCGCGACATCGATCCCGGTGGGGTGACGTACGGCGGTGGTGGGCTGTCCGGTAAACAGAACGACGCGCGTTTCCGTGAGTCAGCGTTGCCTTCGGTGTTTGGTGCAGGCATCGTTACGCAGTTTCCACGACTGGTACTCGCTGTCTCTGCCGACGAGCAACCGGAAGATCGAACAACCTCCAGCCTCGAATCGACCGACACACACGTTTCGATTAAAGCAACTCGATGACATTCGCCGGCAATGGATCGTAATATGGGATACGAGACGACGCGGATTACTCACGAGCAACTACGTCCTGGAGAACCTCTACCTCGTGGGTCACGGCTGAATGCTCGCCTCTTTTTTCGGGCGACGATTTCAGAATCGAGCCCGAGCTTAACGACTTCGTCGTAGCCAGGGGGAGCTTCGTAGACAGGCGGATCGTCCGGCACCGAAATTTCGTCGATCCGTGCTCCATCTGCAAGACCGAACACTGTCGGCAATGACGGTGAGACATCGACGATGGTCGTCGCTTCAATTACTTTCACTTCCGGCCGACTAGTTTAGTCGGCACAAACATAGAATGTCTCGGCTCGTTAAGCGACACCGATGATCCGTTAAATTTGATAACCCGAACAGCCTAACCGATCCTACTCCTACCTAACAGCTCGCTGATTGTTTGCAATCTCGACTGCAGTTCCCTCTGCTGCCTCGCTCTGGCTCCCATTCTGTACAGCAGAACGATCAGCGCCGATATTAGAACAATCAAACCGAGGCTGCTCGCGACGAACACGAGGGTAGCCGTCTTCAAGTCCGGGTACCGATCAATCTTCGGAAAATAATAATTCGCCTTGTTCGCGTGCCACTTTCGATCTTGTGGTTCCACTTCCCAATCTGTGAAACATTCCCACACGCGATCGAACCTAAGAGAATCAGACTTGATCTTGAAACTCGTTCAATTTACCTCGGAAGCAAGTCGCTGGTTCATCACTGTTGTCTCCGCAATGATCGAAGCCATCGCAGTTTAACTGGCTAGGTATGCATCTATGATTGCGACAAAGGTAGTCGGATCCCGCGAAACAATCTGAAAATTGGAAAATAAAGCTGAAACGAGGCACGATCGAGCCCAATCTGTACCGTTTCACGCGCCGCCTCGCCTACCCATATAGCTAAAAGCTGCGTAGGCGATCGCTAGGTGAGAAGAGAGGCCGAACGTTCCACGAAGGCTGACGTGAAAACCGCTTGTAACGGGAGCAACGTGTTCTCTGTGCCTTGGCGGCTGCACCTGACTCGCCGGATGTCTCAAAATCTCGAGCGGCAAAAGGGCCGAAGTCGGACCCTGTCTCACCACCAGTTCCGTGTTTCCAGCTAAAGCAAAGGAAGATTGAATAAGGTGATGCACGACGCCTATCTACGTCGTGACATGTATCCCTACTCACCCATGTCCGCGAACGTGACTACCTTCAAGTACATATGCGTTTTCATGTGCAAAAAGTTTTTCGGAGGTCTAATCAACCACACGCAATCATACGTCTTTACACCTTCGCCGACCATGTCCATCATGGTGATAGCTCCGCCAAGGTTTTCCACGTAACCACCGCAGTCGGTTATCGGCTGCACGGATTTGTCGTACGCGTGCCCGACCACGAACGAATAGAAAGCCTTGTAACCCAAACCTGTCCCGCCGTTCGCATAGAATCGTATTAGCAACGATGGTCCGGAGCTCATTATCACGGGCGGACGAAATCTCGCACCACTGCTCACGTCCAGTCGTTGCCCGTTCCAATCGTAGAACTGAAATTTCCATCGGAACAGAAACCATTGGGGAAACTACGATACTTATATCGATCGTTCGCGGTCGATCGCTCACCTCCATTATCGACACCGTCGCCAATTGGAAATCACTGAAGAGCAGCCTGACGCGACACGACGGAGCATCGCTCGGACAGGTAACCACGTATTCGAGGCCCAAATCACGAGGGTAACGGGCGGGAAAGAACGGGGACGTTAAAATCCCACCGCCTGTGCTGTTCAGTCCCTTCGCCGCCGCCGCCGCCGCCGCCGCTACTTGACCGGTCGCAGTCAATTCCGTGCCTTTCAAGTGCAACCTGTTCCCTGGGAAATGAAACCATAAAATGCTTTCGAGTACGCGACTCTCTGGTCTTGTAAAAACTGAAGGCGACGCGTTACGCGCTTACTCTCCGCCGTGTATTCGAGTGTGAACGCGTGCATGTGCGACTGACTGTAGAGTAACGTGATCGATAGAGTTCTCGTGCTCGATCTGTACGTAATAGGTGCATACAATCCGCAGAACGGCGTTCCGGACACGTCCTCGTACGGTGGTTCCGAGATCCACACGTAGTCGCACCTAATCAGAAATCAAACGATCGGAGTCAACTCTATGTATTCCAAGACGCTCGACGCAAATAATGATCACGGTTACATGCATACCTGCATGGACTATCCATTATGACGCTGCCGTCACCGCAATGGTGCGGCAGCGCGATATTTTCAAAGATGACGGTTACCACGCATGAGGGGCACGTCACCAACTCGAGAGTGCACTGAGCGTGAGAACTGTTGCTCGCGAAAATCCGCGAACCGTCCTGTCTCGCTTCGTTCTTCGCGAACGACACGTTTTTTGCGTACAGAATCCCTTTCTCTCCTAGCTCGAGATACAATCGTCGTCCGTTTTGAGCTCCACAGATATCTTCGTTGCGAACCACGTCGCCTTCCGCGTTCACGACGATCCACCACCACAGTAGTATCGCTAGAAATGATTTCAAACATCGACCACCGATTAATGACAACTTCACTCACCCTACACCAAAACCGATTATTTTGTACGTTCTTTTGCTCGGATCACGGTCTATCGCGAGATTGCAGGAACACTTACCGAAACGGAACCGACGGTACATCTTCTTCCACCGGGAGACAGAAGAAAATGTTCTTCTGTCTCCCGAGAAACCTATCGCGATTACGTACGTAGTAATTTCATTAGTTCGCGACACTGTTACGTACCTTCTTATTATGGTATAATGCATTTTTATGGTATCGCTTGCGCGTTCAGTTTTCCCGCCTTCGACCCTGCGAACAGAAACTTTACGTAATTTTTAATCGACCACAGGCACCTAAACTCACGTCATCGTTGAATCGTACGAAACACGAACACTTCTCTGTTCGCACACTTCCAAAGTCCGTCTTATTTGTTTTGTCTAGTGTTGTTGTTCACGTGTCCGAGATGCGTATTATTGCTAATTGACAAATTCAACTTGGATCGATTAACGTTTTTAAACTCAAAGACGGTATAGGTTGCCGAAAAATGGCCGTCGCGATTGTGAAACATACCGGCGAGAACTCATCAAGAGCCAAACACAAAGCTAATAAACGACTATCGTTTTTGACAAAGTGCTGCACGTCACAGCAGGAAAACAGTGTGTACGACCGAACAGTGTTCATACTATCGGTAAATATCCGATTATTCTCAATTTACTTTAAGGCTTGCACATACCTACTTCCGTTGACAACTGTCAATGTTACATCGCAAATGCTGTGAACGAGTTGTAAAGCGCGCCACTCGATATATGTATAGAGTGTTCGGTGGTGTTCGGCTAACACTACTATCTAACTGCATCTAACAATGACCGTTACGATTCGTATCCCTCTGGCGGTTAACAATCAGAGTCCATGAGAAGGTGTCGCCACGGGTTAGAGATATTTTTTAGGTACAAGACACCCACTGTCAAACACTGGTCAAAACAAACTACATATGAGGGAGGGAGATTTGTCAAACGAAGCGCAACAGTTTCCGGACGATACATCAAATATGGAGCTTACCGTCAATATAAGCAGGCAAAGATTCCCATTTTGCATAGTTTGGACTCCGATACCAATTCTAACGTGAGTAAAGACACAACGTAAACAACGACAATTTCAGACTGCAGCTCGTGGTATGCATGCAAACATGTATACTTGTCACAGAGATCGGTAGAAATTATCATACATGACTTTGATTGGTCGATTCTTATAATGCCACCGAATCATATCTTCATCTTTACAAGAATCAACCAATCGAAGTCACGTATGATAATTTATATCCATCTCTGATACTTTGTGTATCGCACCACTGGTAACATCTCAATCGCATTTTCTTCGTTAGATTAGTCTGCGCGGTATGGTCGCAGCTATTCCGACACCAACGAGATACTTATGTATGTACAAATTATTTCTTTGATGGTCTATTTTCGTTTCGATATCAAGGTACTTTTTACCATTCATCGGTCATATGGGCATCGCTACTTCCATTGGCGTGATAAGGGATTTCGCTGGTCCTTATCATGTCTCTGAAGATAATATGGCTTTTGGAAATCCTACGAAATACTGGCAATTAAACTACGCTAAAGCGAAAGGAGGCGTTCAAGGATGGGATTCGGCTGTTGCCGAAGCTAGTGAAATTTACAAAAATAGAATGGTTAGTGTTTCAACTCGTGTGTCAATTGTTCAGATTCTTTATCCTCGAACGTTATTCTCCACAGCATAATTTATGCTGCGACAATTGTCACTCTCACGTGGCTACAGCATTAAATTTAATGTCGTACAATAGTACAAACAATTGGAACATGGTAAAGCTAGCGTTCCTAATTCTAATCTATGGAAAGTATGTGAGGTAAGTATCTTGTGCGTAACGTAAGAATATTTCTTCAATAGTCGAACACGTGTAAACATATATTTGCATTTAGTGTTCTAGCCTTTCTGAAAACTTGGATGCCTTTTTGTTTTCTCGTTGCTGCTGTAACCTCGTTTTGTCTATACCCACGATAACTGAAACACGCATCTCGGATAATTTCTTCGATTTGAGTGTGAATTGTATACTCCCGAAGCGTTGAGCAAAAATGTTGATTCCAAGCAAAGTACAAATCAATGTAATCCAGGATTTATTAAACACACTGGAGAATGCTTCAATATTGCATGTGTGTTACAGATCTATGTATAGTTCCCCATAAAGATATATCGTAGTCGTGTGTATTAACATAGAGGGAAGAAAAAAAAAAAGTCTGAAGTATGTTGGATTTGAATTTACATTGTGCGCCGCCGAACATTCGAGTTTTGCATTTCGGAAACCGCTGTTCCAACCCTAGGAACATGTTCACGTTCACGCCCGATTGATTTTAAGATCACGCTATATATCGTACGAGAATTATACACATAACATTGAGACTTACAGTACAACATAATCTTACAATTACCAACAAATCAATATTCTACGTCGGCAGCCGTGTAAAGGTGCGCTCGTTCCTTTACACAATTAAATAAATACTCTTTCGTTAAGAGTATATGTTATTCGTTTGTTGGAGCTTTTCAATCTCAAATGTTGCCATAAAAACCACTCATCGAACATTCCATGTGTACAAAACTCATTGAATCTCGTCTACAAGTTGCATTTCTCTATGCAAAGGCATCACTGCCCATTGCTACTATTCATCTCCGCTATAACCCCTTCTTCCAGAGAAAAGTTGTAATTGTAACTATCGGTCTGTATTCTTTCTATAAATGATAAGATTTCACCTATTCTAAGTCTATCTATCTCAAAGTCATTCTTCATACTGCTTTCCAACTGTTTGCACAATTTAAATGGTACGTCGTTCAAATAGTGAGTACTTTCCCCTTGATTATTCGAAGAGTGTATAGACAGCGAGGAATATCCCGAAATTGAAGAGATATAATCGCCAGTAGGGAATTCAGTCGCAGTTTGTCCAACGCGCGGAGGGACCGGTGGTGCAGGCCTTTTTTCAACAAATACATATCCTTCATCCTCTCTGGAAGTTTGTTCCTCCTCTGTAGGTTCTAACGACGGTTCCTTTTGATCCTTCTTCCTTCCGAATAGCCAAGACATTTCGAGCAAAGAATGTTCGTGCTATGAAACTGTAACGACAATTATATCTGTTCGTCCTGAAAAATACGAAAGGTTATTTTCGCGAATACAACGCGCTGCGATGTGACACTCCGTTAAGACAATGCGACAAAATGTAAAAATTCAACAATAGCGACGCGTGTCGCAATTTACGATTCGCGCGATAAACAACCCAACCAACAATTACTGACGCAAAGCACTTGAAATAAAAGAAAGATATACTTACAAGCAAGCACAAGGGAAGAATTAGTAATATTTAAGAACTAAAGCATCCCGTAAACCAGCAAGTCAGTACGATTTCGCGTAGCAAATAATAATTGCCCCTTTGTAACTGTGTAACTCAAGAAAAAATGATATTTCAATTAGAACAAATAAGAACACGTCGTAGTTGCGACTATGTGTAGTACCTAAATTACATATGTGTATGTGTGTATAGATTAGTGACTAGTGACTTTCCCTCGATCGGTGGTGGACGATCGAACGTAAATCCAAGATTTGGTTAGTTACGAAAACATTGTGGTTGCAACATAATCCGTTAGATGTTAGCACCGGAACGAGCGAGCGCCGAAGTGAATCGTCAAAATAGATACGAGAGAGGAACAACCGCAACGTCATAGCCGGGGCCGGGATCTTCGTCGGCCGAGGTCGTTTGAGGTACACCAGTCGGTAGTTGGCAAGCCTGACGCGAATCGCTGGATTGTAGGTTAGAGGATAGCTGGTCGCATAGCTGCGTAGCTACGTCGAAGTGGCGACGCGAGAAGTGACGAAACGTTTGCTCGGAGTCGTAAAAAGTTTCGTAGACAGTTTACGCGATTCGGTTGATAATCGACGAGTATTGTGAAGCATCGAAGCGTCATTGCGTCGTGCCGTTGTAACTGATTTACGCGTTCCCCTCGTGTTTGGAAACGCATGCGCGCTACCAAGGTAACGAAATGCGTCTGGCAATCATGGGACGGATTGTTATAGTTGGTAGAATCGCGTCAAGGTAGCAGCTCGATCGCATTGTTTTTATGTTTCTCGTGTGTGTACATAGCATGCATATACGCTCTGTCTAAGGCGTATCGCGAGTGTCCCCTGCTATCCGACTGTTCTTCTTTTTTACGCGTCGTGTCGTCCCCAAGTGTTTCCGTACCAGGAGAGAAGGTATACAGCAAACTGTTGTGGAAAGGTCGACGTACATACGTATTTTGCAAAGGTGTGGCAGCGTTACCAGTGAGTCTCTCGGTATTAGTGGATTTGCGTGGTACCGACCATCGCTGGCCCTCCTATTCGTTGCTTCCCCGACTGCGTTCCACTCCAGACCATTTCTTTCCTCTTCTCCTCTTTCTTCTCTCCTCTCTCCTGTCCTCTGTTCTCCTCTTCACTTCGCTTCTCTTTTCTTTTCTCTCCTCTCTTCTCCTCTCCTCTCCTCTCCTCTCCTCTCCTCTCCTCTCCTCTCCTCTCTTCGCCCCGCCCTCCTCTCCTCTCCTCTCCTTCCTCTCTGTTCTACTCCCTTTTCTCGTTGCCCGCGTTCCGTTCCTCTTTGTTGCTCTTTCAAGAAACACAGTTCACGAATCTGGTTGCGCGTCGCATTTTTGCCACGTGTCGCGAGATCAGACTCGAGCTAAATAAGTTCGCGAATTAAAGGGACAACGGGCATAACGATCGTGGACGTTATGTACGAATACTTGACAGCTTCTCTGCTTCTTAGAATTTCATATTGGGTTCAGATCAAACGGGTATAAAATTCCATAATCCATTTCGGTAGATTGAACGACGACGCGTGACCACCTTCGATTCGTTAACGCTACAGCTACTGCGGTTTTAGACAGAGCCACCACCACCGCCACTATCACCGTTACCATCTTTTCGTTGTTATCGAACGAATACACACGCTGGTGTCGTCGGAATTCGAATCTCAATCTTTGACACAACGATGCCACAGCTCATTTTTTAACTTGTTTCCCCGTTTTCCGATAGTTCCTCTTCCAGGTCGAAGAACCGATACCACCAAGTGGCAATACCCTCTTACCCGTGCAGTTTTATCAGTTGTTGTTATGTAAATGATATTCGTGTTTTCATGGCTCGAGTTCATAAAAGAAGGTGTATCGTTTTGCCGCATAGCGAGCGATTTTTAAGGAACGCGTTTCTCCTTCCGATGATGATACCTGGTTCGTCGAAACAGCAGTTTGATTTACGGCGCGCGGTTTAATCAAGTAAAGTAGTTCTATTTCGATGTGAAACCCGCGGGCATGGATGTTCATTATCGATATTTTGCGTGACAGATCGTCGACACGAACACGAATTTGAAATAAAGTTCAAATTCCGTTTCGGCTCGATTCGGTTCAGTTCGGCTGCGTTCGACGCACACCGAGAGTACGTAGTCAAAGAGAGAATCGTGTTGCGAGTTTGTGCGTGAACCAACCAACCACCCAACCAACGATCAGTGTATACATACATATAGCTTGTATACCGACGTTTATTATTTACTTAATTAACCATCTTGAACCGTATGGGGCATGTGACGGTCGATCTTCTCCGTTCATGCTGCAAAACGTATATAATTGTAAGTGATAGCGGTCAAGCGACGAGATTTGAGTAAACGCGATAAATGTAATTCTTAGGATACGCGAGTAGTCGATGGGACGCGAAACTGTGTCGAGCAGAAAATAGGTCGGGAAAATCCCATCCATCGTCGAAAGAGCAGACACGACCGCTCTCTGGCTCTTCCCACTTTTCTGCCGGGCGAGCAGCTCGCCACGTCCACAACGACCAATAATCTATTTTTGAAAAGTGAACGAAACGTCGCGTTGTATCCATTTGTAGTTATTGTACAAGTATGACCGAAGATGAAAATATAAGCATGCCATCGTGTTTATAATGTTCATGTAACCACGCTAATAAACTTTTGACCGACGACTTCTACTCGGGAATAGAATGAAAAATGTAGAGATAGAAAAAGAAATATCGTAAGATTCTCTCAGTTTCCTGTCTAGTTCTTTATTTCCACGCGTTCACAGCCATCGCGGGAGTAAATAAATATACGTATAACTGAGTGCGCGCGCGATGTTTCTGTCGATAGTTGGTGCCAAAAAGACGCGCGGGACGATTGCGCGTCACGGACAAGGTTCGACTTCCGCGTTTGACCTGTTTCGTTCGATTCCACGGTTCTACTTCGCCACGAATGTTCGAAGTTACATCAAATAAAGAGCTTAACCATTTGCGTTTCAGAGAAAGACGCATGACACGAACAAAGAAGAGTATTACAAAGTCGAGGCGTTGATGGTAAATGCAGGGTACGGTGGATGTTGGATGAAACAGAATGTCCAGCGAGCAACCGCGAGCGAGCGCCGTTGCAACCACGGGTAAGTCCTCCACATCGTGTATATTTCTTTTAATAGCGTCGTCGTGTTTGCGAACGAATCGACGGCGAGCACAGTTTTGTAAGAATTCGCGGTCGCGGTCACGTTCGCGATCACGTTCACGTTCTTGTTCTTGCTCTCGTTCTCGTTCCGAAAATTTTCGAAACGCGTCTACTCTAATTGGATCGATTCAATCACGTCTCGGAATAGAGATTCGACGATACCTGTTCGCTCGCGTGGAATATGGGAATCAAGGAAAGGATGAACAGTGTAAAAATAATTCATCCCTCGGACAGTCTTGATTTTTCCGTTTATAGTGGCCCACGAGTAATTTTCCAGACATCTACACATCCTTCTCTATTTTTTCTTTCGTCTGCGACTCAATGATTTCGAATTCACACCCAAACTATTGGTATTTATTTCCGCACGTCTTTGGCATTTTTCGCCTTCTCTTTGGTTCATCTGGATTCGTTGCGTTTGCCACAACGGAGGATCGAGCCGTCAACGGCGTCCGATCGTTCGGGAGTCAGCAGTTCACCGGCTTTCGTCTTACGACCGATCGAGGAATTGTTGGCGCGCTCTCGACGTCAACGCAGAGGTTTCATTCATCCAGTTTCGTATATATTTTCGATACGTGCCACCCCTTCTCTACCACGATCGTACTTGTTGCCAGTGAGCGTCGAGTCGTCTTGTTAAGAGCGTATAGATCGTCGACGTAACGTCTACGCAATTCGACGCTATGCATATCTATGAGAGAAGAAAGGTAACAATGCGAAAAGGACGGATATCTATCCGCGCGTATACAATGAGCGAGACGTAAAATTTCTTGCTTGTTCGCGGGATCGGATTATTATGTTGGACAACATGCGCTATTTCGAATGTGAAACGATTTACCGATCAGATCGTGCGAGCTCGTGGACGGGAGAGACAAAGCGCGATAGAAGGTGAAAGCGCGTAAGACCGAAGGGGGGGGGGTTAGTAGGAGCGAGAGACGATGATGGACGAACAGGTAAAAATAAATAGCAAAATTCAATGGATCTTTCCGGCCGAAATAGATGATTGATCACCGATCGTTGCCATTTGTAATTCGTAATCCGCGCGCGCTCCGTCATCGGTTGTTTCTCGTCTCGAATCTGAAGACAGTCAGGAGTTAGGAGGGGAGTCGCCAGACATCACGGTTCAACGGAGAACGCAATGCAGTGTTAGGTGCAGCGCAGCTCAGCTGAACACAGCGCGCGGGACGATGAGGTGCAGCGTTTGTTCGCGTCGTCGTCGTCGTCGTTATCGTCGTCGTCGTCGTCGTCGTCATCGTCGTCATCGTCGTCATCGTCATTGTCATTGTCATTGTCATTGTCATTGTCATTGTCATTGTCATTGTCCTGTCGTCGTGTTGTGTCGCGATACGTCGTCGTCGGTCCGTGTACTACCACGCGTTCGAGGTTTCTATTTTTAGACGGACGGCCCGATCGGGTATACAGGCATCGTCAAGGCCGTGCGTTGCGAAACGATTATCGGCGACACATGTTGCTCTCGAGCTGAATGTGCTAGCAATCTAGCTAAATCGATCGATCGATCGATTTATTCTGCGCGAACATTCGTCAGATTGTTCTCGAACGAAACGGCATTGTTCGATAACTCGTCGAATCGTTAGCGTATCGCGTCGTCCCTCTTACCCGATCCTCTGATTCAGCAGCTACGCCTCGGTACATGAACTATCCGACGGCTTCTCACGTGCGAGGTATGACGTCTGTGGATGTTGCTGAACGCGAGTAACATCACAATCGATACTCCTATAGCTCTCATCATGACGATCTTTCGTGAGTCGTGTTCAGGCGAGGCAGTCCACGAAAGAAATTCCACCACGTCTTTTACCATTTGCGATTCGGTTGCCGGTGTACCGTCCTCGTATTCGATGATACCTTCGTAAAGCATCTGCAACAGATGGAAAAATAAGATACGGGAGAAGAAGTTGGAATGGCAATGGGCGACGACGACGACGACGACGACGACGACGACGACAAAGGAGCAGAAGGATAAAGATGTAGTATCAAGTCGCAACGTACTGGCGACATCGCGGTGACACCACCAGGGAAATACGCGTTAAAGTGTTGTCCGTTGCCTAAATGGACACCCGCCGGTGGCTCCATCCATCCCGTTAGCAAGGAAAACAGATAATTGGTGCCATTCTTTTTGGCGAGAACTATGTACGTCAGATCCGGTGGATACGTGCCAGAGTTGGCGGCCCTGGCGGCTTCTTCGGTCGGAAACGGTAACGGGACCGTGTCGGTCAATTTCGCGGGCCTCATGTAATAATTACCCTCCTCGTCGGGACCGTCCTCCACCTGTTCTGAAATCATACGGTTGCGTTCGATTAACGAATCGAGCAGCAAGTCGGGGCGACGAGTTCTCGAATCGCGCAACCTCGAACTTGTTCGCGATAGCCTGTGCCTCTTGTTTGGTGTGCGTCATGTTCACCAGATCCAGGAACCGGACGAATCGGAGACTGTGACAAGCGTAGCACACTGTTCGATAAATTTGCCATCCCCTTCTTAGAGCCGCGTGATCGAACGACTTGATATGACGGTCAAACACCCAGGGGTAGCTCGGCAGTGAAATCCTGGGTCCGGCCGCTTTCACCGATTCATCCAGAAAGTAGAGAACCGCTCCTCCGCAACCGCCGATTATTCCCGCAATCATGCCAAGGTACGGTTTTCTCGTTTTCCCCCGATCCGACTTTGACTGTGATTCTTGTCGGCCGGCAACTTTATCCAGCTCCACCGGAACGAATCGAATCTTCCGATGAAATTTACGACACGACATTGAAAGAGCTCGATTTCCTCGCGCGATCGTCGACATTGTTTCTTCGTCGAATCGAAACTCGTTACGAAGAATAGTAGACGATAGGATGATCGAACGAACAAACGAACGAATACGATTTTTCGCTGACAATTAGTTTACTTCGCTTCGTTCTTTCATTCCCGGCCTCTTCACTCTCCACTCGTTGCGTTTCCTTCCTATGCGTGTTTCTTTATCGTGTCCATTTCCGTTTTAGTGTTCCAAGTGACTAAGAAACTTCGTAGCATTCGCGTGAAAAATACCTAGACTGGTACACCTTTATTGTCAGACCTATTGGAACGTCTTCTAACCCAGACTGGGCTTGGATACTTTGAATCATACGGTCATGTATAAACATAAATCGCGATTATTTCTCGTCTTAAGAACGTTGAAACGTACATACTTACGTACGTACACACATGCATGCATGCATGCATGAATATTGAAACCGATTAGTTGTTTCGCGAACGTAGCTTCTCTCTCAGTTACATAACACGCAACCAGCGTTACACAACATTTTACAATAAAGGCGTCGTGTGTATTTCCGCGACGTTATAAATAAACTGCTCGGTTATGCTTGGCATTATGCATGCGCGCATATTGGCGAGCTTGCGTCGGAATCGGACGAGGAGCCGTTTCTTTCTTGCGCGTACGAACCCATTCTTGCCGCCACTGCCGTCGCCGCCTCGTGCTCCGTTCTTCGGAGGAGTACGGGACAACGACACTGACAGTACGGACATACGGATCGATAACGAAAAACGCGTGTCTTCTTCCAATGGCCGAGTTTTCCGTTTCTTCGAATGACTTCGGTCGAGCTTGTCACGGTTTTCCGGTCAAATTGCATTCCACGCGAATTAGCTTCGAGGATGACCACCGCGTTAATGGTAACGTCAAGGACGAGAATAACGAAGGAGGAACGATAACGTTTCGAACGATAATCGTCGTGACCACCGGACTTGTCCAATAATAGCTACCGACCTATCGATCCGCCAACCCGCGAAAGACACTACTCCCTCTCGGCTCGTGCTATCGTTGACCAAAAATCTCTTATCGACGGATTAAGTTTCTCGATTGTGAGACGGGACACGAAACACGGAACGGAACGGAACGGAACGGAACGTCACGACACGAAAAGAAATGAAACGAAATGAAAAGAAATGAAACGAAATGAAACGAAATGAAACGAAATGAAACGAAATGAAACGAAATGAAACGAAATGAAACGAAATGAAACGAAATGAAATGAAACGAAACGAAACGTATTCGTATATGTGCCGTGATCGTTATTATGCGATCTTATGAGCTTCGACGATAGACGCGTAACAAGAATTAATCGCGTTAATCGATGCGCTTTCTTCTTTTTTTTTCTTTTTCAATCTTTATCACTGGTTTGCTGGAAATCGAGCCGGGCAGAGCATCGCAATTGACGTTAAAAAGTGTATCATACCTTTAGCGGAAATCGAGAAATTATACCCAAATGGACGTATGTACTGCATGTACGTCCGTGCACGTGCATGTAAACGTATTCCCCTCGTGTTCGTGTCCCGGGTCCGTGCAACACGGAAGAATACGCGCTGGATTACTTACTCATGCTATAGCACGGGTGTTGTTTGTCCCGTGCGCGTTGTTCGCGCGCGTTCTCGTTATGATCCAGCAGCGACCCATTCGCCGCGACTCCCGCAACATACATACATACTAGAATGTTCCCATAGCAGCATCGACCGTTTTCATTTACGTAACGTTCTTGTTTTGTTCCGTCGAACATCGTCGACGATTCGTCAACGCGTATTTTCCGGAACTTGCCCATGGTATTCTAACAATGATATTCGTATGTGTGTTTTTCATCGAGTTGCCTCGCGATTGCAAGTTGTACATGGTAGAGGTAGAGATACACGTGACTGCGTTCGCGTCGATCAGTCGTGCGCATGAAATAGGACCGCAGAGTTTATTTTCATCGGTTCCATTTATTTTCTCCCAGTCTGCCGTTCCCTAAAGGTGCTAGAACGGTATTCTGGCTTCGATGCTCGAATTCGCGAGGATGCGTTCTCGCGATGTCGAGCTGGTTCGGGGATTCGTTCGAGGTTCGTTCGGGTCGGATCGCCATCGTCTCTGCGACACACTCGAAAAGGACGCTTTCGCCCACGATGGGAAATTGTGGGGTGGAACGC